TCTTGCTCAGGTTGGTTTTGAACTCATGAACTCAGGCATTCCACCCACCTCAGCCTCCCAACTAACTTGGGGACTTGGGTGCAAGTAACTTGGAAGGCTGAGGAAAAGAAAAATGCTTGAGCCCAAGAGTTCAGGGTTGCTGTGAGCTGTGACTCCAAAGCACTCTACTAAGGATGACAAAGTCAGAATCTGTCTCAAACAAAACAATAGCATTCAATTTAGTGCTTAAAAAATGCCTCTTGGCAGGATGTCCCATGAGGACCTGGCCTTGGGTGGCTGGGGTATGACTATAGAACTTGACAGCTATTTTCACAGCTTGACCACAACTCACATGAGGCATAACCCAAATACCTTCACGTGTATGTCCATTTTTAAGCAGCACTACCATTACAGGTCATTTTTTAATTTCCAAAAGGATCACAGACTTTGTCAGATTAGGTTCAAAAACAACAAAGTCAGCCTAGAATTTTGGACTTTCCTTCTGAAAGGCAGAAAGGATCCAATGGAACATTAAGGACACAGGCAAAGAATGGAAACATCTTTAGGAAAAATGGAGACCCTGTCTGATTACATTTTAAGTCACCAGGTACCCTTCAATGGCCAGAGTCTGCCAGACTATAAGCTCCCTGAAGGCAAAAGCACTTCCTTTTTTTTCTTCTTTGTTTTCCCTAGTGCCTCCTTCCCAGCACAAGGCCAGCACTCAGCAAATTCCGTTTAAACATGACAGTAAGAACAGATGGGAAGAGTGGTCTCCAGAGAGAGGAAGGAGGGGATGCCACCAGCACACAATGAAATAGTAGCTTTGTGCTGACCCTGAAATGTCCCAGATATGTGTATGCACAGAATTCTATGGTTATTTGCACAACTTTAATAAAGAAATAACAGAAATAATAAATAATTTTAAACTTCCCAAGCCTCTAGGGCTTTACATCTAAGAAAACAGTTTCTACACCAGGACTTGTGTTTGTAAATAAGAAAATATTGTCAGAATGGTATATAACTGAGGGAGGTAAAAATTTATGTTCTCCATATATTTCTAAGGAAAAAAGGAGTAAGGGGAAAAAAACCACTTAAGGTAAAAACTCTCAAAAAGACTCCCCAGATCTGTATCTAGCAATAGGCCAAAAACTGAGGCTACATGGGTTTTGAGATTTCTTATGAGAAACTCTAGTAAGAAAAATACAGTGACTCATTTCATAATAATGCCCTTTCTTCCCAAAGTACACATCACAATTCCCACATCCCTAGCACATGGGCGCTCTGAGCAGAGCAACTGTAACACAGAGGATGTCTTGTACCCAAGTCCCCCAGTGGACAAGAGAAGCGACAGCAGAGACCTCTAGGGCCCTGCGGTGGGGCAGGGCTGTGTGTTGTGCTCACTGTGCCCTGCAAAGAAGGGGACACTCCTGTGCAGCCCCCTTTAGGAACTGGGGAGCTAAGTGCAGCTGCCTTGCTTGTCCTCAGGCTGCAAGAATCCCTTGGCAGAGTAGTTTTGAACAGATGCTCCCAGATTCCTAACAAACTGTCACTTAAGCTCTGAGGATCCAAAAGGGGGGCAAAAGGGGGGATAAGGGGAAGGGCATCTGAGCTCTTCAAGGCCGTACAGCAAGAGGCACCTACAGCTGCCCCTCAAGTAGCAGCTCACTGCCCTGTCACTTCTGTGGTCACATAAGAATGAGTTAAGTAAACAGTTATAGGAAAATAACCAAAGTTTACTGCTAAAGTATTATCTCCAATATAGCTGCTCAGGAAGCCAATTTCCCAGGCCTTGCCCAGTTAGAAGTTCCTTGAGAATCATTATCAAGAGAAAATAAGATGGATTTTGCCCTTTGGCAAGTATCAGTGTAACTGATAAAAGAATTCAAAGCTAGAAGGAAGTTCAGGGACTACTTAGGGAGCCGGACATCACTGGTTTTGGGACATTTGAAGTGTAATAGAAAGGAGTATGAAAGCCTTCTCTCAGGCAGAAGGCAGTTCTGGAAGGAAAGGATTGTTTATTGATCCTTAAATAGCTGAGACAGGCGGATTCTGCAGGGGTCAAATATCAATGAGGATTAAGCTCCAAGACACTTCTGGTGGAAGAACGGGGTAGTTGACTTGATGGGCAATTTGCGGGAAAGGGACCTTTACTTGACCTGTATCTTTCACTGCTTCTAGCAACAGCAAGCCTGAGGAAGCAGTGGGCTAGAGGCCGGGGAGGAGAGGGCAACGCAGCAGTAAGCAGGCTCGGCAGAAGGAGAAACAGGGCTGTGTCTAGCGCTGGGCTTCAGCTGGCTTGTGTGTGCATCTCAGAACGTGTATACATGAAGATTGTCAGAGGTGGAGAAAAAGCCCAACTGAGAAGATACAGACTGACCACAACTAAAGGGAATCGCTCGAAACAGTGATTGTCAAGGGCATCCTTCCCGTAAGCTAACATGGCTAACTCTGAGAGCATCATCGCCAGATGTAAGAGCATGCACAAGATAAGGAAACTAAACTCATGTAAAAGCCTCAGACTGGTCAGTTTTTTCAGAATGAAAATTCCCAATGTTTAGGAAATCCTCCAGATTACAGGATTTATATGACAGCAGCTACAGAAATCTTACATCTGTATAAATACCAGGGCCTCTGAGGGGGGATAATATTTCACTTGTATTGAGATGTTTTAATTCCTCCTTAATAATTTAAGATACTAAGTATTAATATTACATATCAGATATGAGATCTAATTTCTTCTATATTCCATCTGAAAGCAATAATACTTTCTGGTACCATTAATTGTTGTTTTCTTAAACTACAGATCAATTTCTTCCTTGCTCTGAGAATAAGTTAAGCCATGTTATATTTTACTTATATGACAATGGCATTACCACTTTAGTATTTATTCATTTACTAAGGTAACTCAACATCCCAGAAATATTTCAAAGGATAAACTTCTAATACTTTGCTCCAAGTCTGCTTGATTTATTTCATCTAATGTGTATACTACAAGTTTTACTAATGGAAGAAGAGAAATAGAAGAGACACATGGCTTTTCTGCTCTAAACAAAGGCATTTAAATTTAAATGTAAGTTCTCTGCTCTTTACTTTTCTGGGGTCTTTATTTGTTCTCACTGCCTGTGAAACACTCTTCTTATGTATTTATGTAAGATGAGATAAGAAGCTGGTTTTAGACTATGTGAGCCAAATTTCAGATTTCATGTGGGTTAAAAAAAATAAACATCAGGGGTAATCCAATATTCCCATAAATTACTTTAGAAGCATAATAATCATGTCATACTTCACGGCCGGGTTAATGTCTGCTAAATTTTTCTTTTCTCTTTGCAGAAGATTCAAGTTATATATCCAAAAATTATTTTTTAAAGTTTACAGAGAATTAAGTTCAGGTAGATTGGACTGTGATACACATACATGCGGGTGCAACAAGGCGGCTCTCCCGGGTGCACATGTGAAGCGTAGAAGACAAAGCTGTCATCTGCAACATGCTGAGTAAGTTGTATTTGCCTATTTGTCTGAATAAAGAACTCTAGTAAAACACAACTTGGCTCAAGACTTAGCATGAGAAAAGAAAGAGAGAAAAAGGGACAGAAAAAGAGAAGGAGAGAGAGAAAGAACCCTATCAGCTATGAAATAATACACCAGGGAAAAGCGCTGAATCTCATGAAAATGTCAGTGATTCACCACGGAATAAAATTCAAAAGCCACTGACTCCAATGAAAGCTTCCAGTGGAAACATGTGGATTTTGCTTCATTTCATTTAAACACTAACATAAGCACCATCCCTTTTTGTTGTGTTGCTTTCTCATTTAAAATTAATATAAAAAAGATACTGCTGATTAAACTAAATATTTAAGGGGTCTCTAGGAAAAGGATTAAAGGAAGAATTAATCAATATTACCGTGCAAAACACACAGGACATATTTTGTTCCCTTAAAACGCATGCTGGGTGCTCATCTACTGAATGACAATAGCAGGCAATTCTTTCATTTTTTTTTATAGTAACTAAGCATTTAAACAGATTGATTTGCTTATAGAACTTCTTTATACGCACCAGTTCTTCATTCTGACTTGCCAAATGATTATGACCGAATGCAAGCTGACTTACACAGACCACAAATCTGTCAGGGAATACCTGGAGTTCTGTATAAATGAAGAAAAGCAAGTTAGCAAAGGCATCAGAAAACCATGAACACAGAAATGCTTGGTCCCAGATTGGTTTTGTTCATTTTAAGTTATGGTAATATACATGTACATATAAGACAAATGCCTCTTCTCCCCTCCCATCCTTTCAGTGTTTGCCATCGATAGGGCAGGATGAGTGCAAAGCTCCAGGGAGAGCTGAAAAGGCTGCAAATTGGTCCACCTGAGCCCCTGGACCATTATCCCACATGAAACCCCCAGGCAGGGCCTGCGCAGCCTTCCCGCTGTGTCAGTTTACTATTTTCTGTTTCCAACTTTTACTCTGGGAAATGGGATTAATGTCTTCCAATGAGTGTGCAGACTTCTAGGGCAAGAGGAAGAATATTAAGTAAAATCTAAAAATGTGACCCATCTGCATTTTTACTGGTTAGTTGACTTAGCATCCTTGTTGAGCTGGCCTGAGAGGTCCCCTGCATTGGAGGGCAAACTCCCAAACTGAATCAGGCTATGTAAAGAGTAGTTTCTCTTAGGAGCGAATGATCAAACTATTAAGGAAATGGTTAGATAGGCAATCGGAAATATGACGCAACACCACCATGGCCATAGCAATGTATTACTGCGGCTTCTTGAAACAAACTACTAACTTCCCAGTGGGGAAGACTGAATGGATCACTGAACTGGACTCCTCAGCATTCAAAGAAAGAAACATAAAATGGTAATGCCATCTGGATCTTTCCTTCTCTCACCTGTCTATTCATCCATCCTTCCCTTTACCAGCCTCCACCTACCCCGAGTGACGTCCAGAGTGATGCTTAGCTGGGGCTGGCTGTGTACATTCCGGGTGGATGGGAGGCAGTTCTTCTTCCTTCTTTATATATATATATATTTTTTTTAATTGTTAAAATGAACCAGTCATTTTTATAAAAAATGAAACCTTTCTTAGATGAGACCAAGTTTTGAAAAGATGGATATTATTAGTCAGGTAAATGAAGCCTTTTCACACGTGGCACATGATGGCAATGATCTCAATCTGACGCACCCCTTGGAAGCCAAGCATGAAGGTGTCAGTTACACAGATATACAGTTTAAATACAGTCAGTACCTTATACTACTTGGCTAGGTTAAATTATACCAAAAAGCCTAACGGGCTGCTCCAGAGCAGCTTCCTGGTTACTCCCTGGGCCACTGCTGTCTCCTTGGCAATTCCTCTCCCTCTTCTACTTCATTCTACTCAGCACAGCAAGTTAACAACCTAAAAAAGAGCTCCACGCAGAAGCCCATCATGACTCTCCAGCATCCAACATTCCAAGCCCTCCCTGAGCGGGGCCTAACCTGTTGGGTGACCTGGGGTCTTACCCACAACTAGTCCTCATGTAGAAAGTCCTCAGTGCTGGAGCAGGTGTGGGTGTGTTTAAACACAACCCACGTGGATATTGTATCTGGCTATGTGACTAGGGATGGGCTTTGAAGAGCCAGAAGAACAAAATGAGCGAAGCAGTCAATATTTATGCACTAGTTCTTAAAGTATCACACTGAGATAAGGGATAAGTCATCTGCTTCCCACTATACAGAATTCAGTATTCAGAATTCAGAATTCAGAATTCAGTCTGCCCCCCAGCACACACCAAATCATGAACCTGAAATACAGAACAGTTCACGGTGGATCAGAATTAGAATTTAAACTTACTGGTTCTACCAAATAATTCCTCTGCTTTATATTTTCATTTCTTCCTCTGAAAAAATAAGAATGCTAGGAAGGCATAATTTAAATATTTTGGCCCCAAGTATTAACAGAAAGTTACTTCTAACCTCTTTATTCTGTTTAGGTCATAACTGAGAACTGTATTATTTTTATATTTAAATGAAGATACAGATAAAGACAGTTCATACTATGATGGGTCCAGAGACAAGAAGAGCAAACTTATTTTACCAAGAGAGCAGAACAAAGTGGAAGGCCTACTAAGGGAGTAATATATTTGAGCAACATATAAAGTTACATGCAGATAATCATGAAGATTCTAGGAGCATACCACCATATAATTAATTTTTAAAGTCTTATCTGTTTCATATCTTACATATGCACTGAAACTGTCCAAGACAGTTGAGCTAAATTTTCTCTCCAATGCTCAGATCAACTTGGAGAACAGTCATTAGCTTCTGACCACACTGGTGCTGGTGGACAAGTCTGACATCACTTCCCCAGTGGACAGGTTGATGTGGGGAAGTGAAGGGGGAACTGGCCTCGTCATACACCTAGAAAAGCCTGGGCTGGGAAAGTATAGGCACTTGCTCCGTATCCCACTACCTTGGTGTGTACAGATAACGATAAAGTGATTCATAGTTCAAGTGTCTGTCGAGTCACTCTGGAAACTCACTGAAAGCACTGAGATGCATAAGCAGAGTAAAGTGTACTGTGGCCCAGCTCATTGTTCTTAGGCAGGCAGTAAACACAGCATGAACTGGGGAAAAAAGCAGCAGGGCTTTCCATTCCTTGATATTTATCCCTTTTCTAGAGCAAGCTGATTATGTGAAATGCCTGACAATCCCAGAAATCAGCTTCTTACCAGTATTCCGTGCGCCCCAGAGGCAGCGAAGGGGTATCCCTCTCTTGAGGAAGTAGGCTGTGATCTGAAAGCCATAACCTGTAAGGTGAAAGAGGACTTCATGAGATTATAAGCTTCTTTGCCACTGAGTCCTAGGAGTCCAGCCCAGTGCCTGCCATGTGACATAGTGATATGCATTCAATAATTATTTAGCAAATGAAAGAATTAACAGAATCAATAGAGGGTCTTGCTTCAGAGGAAGGGTGAACATTACTATGCTGGCTCTTCCAGGAGGCCTGGCAGGTACAGCTGGCATAGTCCCTATTCTATGAAGTGTTGTCTGTAAAATTAAATTAAGTGATGAGAGGTCTAACATCTGAAAATTAGGGCTTTCAAATGGGATGATTTTCAGTCTGAGCTTGGGAGTAGAATATGGCTACTTTCTGATAGTCATTGCTTATTAGCTCACAAAAATAATCTTTAATACCTACTTAAAGATGGGGGGTATTTTGCCTATAACTAAGTTATTCTAATTCAAGTACAGCAAAGTCTTTCTATAGAATGAGATGAAAAGAAATACAACATGAGTCAAAAATATTTTTTTCTCCAACCCACCAGAATGGCCTAAATGAAAAAAGACACAACAGTAAGTGTTGGCAAGAATGCAGGACAAATGGAATTCTTCTCCACTGCTAGCAGAAAGGGGTACAAATCTGTATAGCCATTCTGAAAAAAAATTCTTCAGAATCTAAAGCTGAATGAAGCATGAACGTACAGGGCTGGTAATAGCACTCTTCACAACATTCTCAAACTGGAACCAATGCAAACATCCATCAACAGTAGAATTTTTTTTAAATGAGGATATAGTCACACAGTGAAATACTACATTGCCTCTAAAAATAAGTGAGCTATGACTACAGGCAACGACAGAAATAAATCTTGTAAACATAATATTAAGTGAAAGAGGCCTCATCCAAAAGAGTAAACACCACAGTGAAAATGGAGACATCATCGTCCATCACAGGGTGGCAACAGAATTTCACAGAAAGTATCAGGATAATTCCTTCCTCTCTTTCTCTCTTCTAACTGCCAGAGTATACACTACTCTGTTGATGATTTTCCTGAAAACACCAAATGAACTCTGCCTGGTTAATGCAATCAAGTATTCAGTAGAAGAATCAGAACTGAAAGGCCCACTACAGTGGAGAGAGTGTCCCCAGCTTCTGATTTTATCTGGGAAACTGAAGGGGTCAAGAGTTGCAAGTAAGGATCTCCAGGACCATCAGACCCTTCGAAGTCCATGACCATGACTGTTTTGAAATAACTTACACAAAGAACACCATTAAAGAAGCATTCACTTTTACCTTCAGTACCTTCAGTACCCTTCCAACACTCCGTACAAAGACCTGGGATACTGGTGACCATAGCCTTAATGCTGTCTAAGCAAGCCTTGGCTCTGATAGCACCACTGCTTTAGGCACACACAGTGCAAAGTAACAGAGACATCTATGAAAGGATAATCTCAAGAGTTACTGAGATGAAATATATTTTTTCTAACAGATTTCAAAATAGATTGCAATTCAGTCATGTGGATTCTTTCTGCTTAAAATTTCAAACAAAATATACACAACCGTTGCATTACTCTGAGTGCTTTAAAGTAAGTGTGTCATTCTTTAGGTCACAGAGAGTGGAAGTCCCTTCTACAGCTGTTTATTTGTCCTACTACTGATGGAAGGTGGTGGAAAGAGAGAAGTTCCTAACAATTTGGGACTCACAAAACATGTAGCAAAATTTAAAAGTGATTTTGCAAATAATATTTAATAAATCTTCCAAAGAACTGAACATAAAACTCTATGCAGTTATCTAAAAGCAGTCATTCTGCTTTTGCTGGTCTATAGCTCTAGGCATGTTTAAAATTTTAAAAATCTTCCTGTACAAAGTTGCCAACAATAAAATGTTATTATCAGGAAGGCCCTAAAACTGAATTTGACCACGAAAGCTACAGTTCTGAGTTCAGAAAGCCTGGTATCTGGAGATACCACTTGAGGGATAACTAAATCCTATTCAGACTGCCAAACAGTAAAGTCTCAATATGACATCTTCTCCTAGGGAAAATAAAGCAGTACAAGGCAGAGTCCAAGTGATTTATTACTGAAATTAGTAGAACTAAGTTAACTGGAACGCTGCCCCCATACCTCCCACACTTAAGATAGGATTATGTTAAAAGGAACCATTTTTAAACTGGCATCTTGTTCTGAGCAGTTCCAATGGAAAATCTGGCCTGATGGTACCTACAACAGAAATAGCAAGTTTAGCATGTAGAAAAGATTTGCACCTGCTTAGAAGAAAATTCCACTGGTCCCATGAAATTTTGTTGTTTAAAGAGAAACTTGAAGAGAGATTAAACACAAATCAGCTTATGGCAAACTAAATCTGACATCTAAACAGAGAAAATTACTGTTGCTAAAACATTACGAACTAAAATACTTAGATGTATTTCATTTATTAATAAATAACAGGCAGTGATAAAGAACTACATTCTTACTACTGCTCTTAATGAAACTGACTTCATAGAGTCCAACAGGCCACTGAGATTTTGTACTCACACAGGGCTGAGGCAAAGCTTCACTACTTTCTGAAGCTAAACAGCACTCTGGCAAAGAATAAGAGGGCCCCCCCAGCCCCGGCTTTCCCTACCAAGGGCCCCAGCCACACTGGTGTTCTACATGCAGAAAACCTGAGTCAGTAGGCGACTGGGGAAGCAAGCAAATGGAAACCACAAAGTGATAATCTTTTCGTTTGAAGATAACCTGACAATGGTATTTCAAAATTATGAAGCATTTGCAAGTAACATTTAAGTATGCCTGTTGTAGAAAAATTAGCTGGATGTTTGGCGGGTGCCTGTAATCCCAACTACTTGGAAGGCTGTGTGGTCTTCCTAAATGGGAAGATAGTCTTTAGAGACAGGAAGACACCTGGGCTAAAGGAAAGGTAGTTTTGTAATGAAAGCATCTGCCCACCGAGAGTCTTCAGGTGTGTGCCATTTCTAGAAATAATGTACATTTCTGAACTGCTTAATATCAGAAGATCATCCAGTACCAGCAAGATCCTATCTCCCTCCACTAGCCTCCAAAGCAGCCCTAAAGGTTTCCAGTCTCTGGCCATCTTTTGTATTCCATATTTATAAAACAGAGTGACTGCAGGGGTTCGAGACAAGTCTGGGCAAGAGCGAGACCCCCATCTCTACCAAAAATAGAAAAATTAGCTGGCTGTTTTGGTGGGTGCCTATAATCCCAACTACTTGGAAGGCTGAGGTAGGAAGATCACTTGAGCCTGAGACTTTGCGTTTGGTGTGAGCCAGGCTGATGTCATTGTACTCTAGCTTGGATAACAGAGTTAGACTCTGTCTCCAAAAAAAAAAAAAAAGAGTAACTGCATTTCTTTCCACTCTTGACAATCAGCCTCCATAGCCACAATAAGCTCAAAATGATGACTAGTTACCACATTAACTTTCTTCTGGCTTACCTGTTTGTTCACCAAAGAATATTAAATCTCTAAGAAAAAAAAAAAGGAGGTGGAAGTCAGTACTGTTTATCAGAAAAAGAAAGGACAAACCAGAGTTCTGCTACTATTTATTTCACAGTCTAAAATAAATTGCTACAAAATGCCTTTGTTAGAGATTCGAAGGCATCATAAATAGAAAGGCAAAAAATTATAAGAAAAAAGCTCAAATATGAGTTGAACAAATTCCATCCTGGCTTAGCAAGATAGTAGATTAGTTTTAAGTTGTACTGTGTTCTCCAATGAGTAATGCGTTTTAAGGGAGTGGTCATTTATTTGGGTTGTTATAGTTCATAGTCCCGAGACACTAAGAACAAATATCCAACACAGAGTTTTTACTGTAAAACTATCCAGCTTCACTTGTTTTCCAGGGGACTCACAGCCAAGGTGACTTGAGCTTCCCCACGGCTGCCAAGGGGTGTCTGTGGCACAGAGCCTAACAATGGAAAGCCTCTCCCACGGCTATTAATGAGACTATTCATGGGGGAGCCTGGGAAGAGGCCTCTGTGTGGTCTGCTGAGCCATGAGGACAGCTTGGAAGGTGAGCAGGGTTCATGGTGGGCTCCACCCACCACCTGCGTAGCTCTCCTCCAGCAAAGCCTCCTCCCAAACTGTAAGGCAGGATCAGGAAGACCTGTCCTGCCCCCTCACTACTTCTCTCCCTCAGATGCCTTGGTTAATGTCACTGCTCCCAAATCACTCAGAAAAGTTTCAGAAAAGTAGAAAACAGTGCCATAAACACCCCCAAACCCACCATCTAGAGTTAGTAAGTTAATATTTGGTCATACTTCATATACATACTGCTAAACTATTTCATAGTAATTAGACATTATGAAACTTTACTCCTGAATAGGTGACCACAGACTCCCAAGCTCTTGTATCACCAAAACACTATTATCACAACTGATGATGACATTATTACTCAAATAACCATCCATATTCAATTTCCTCAACTTCCCCAAAATGTATGTCACTGATTTTTCACTTGAATTAGGATTCAACCAAATATTATAGTTTTTTTTTTTTTTTTTTTAAGGAAACATCCATTAATGTTAAATGCTCTATTTTTACTGGTCAGTTCATGGAGATGAGTGTAGTTACTTCTGACTTACAATTTAGTTTAGAAATATGATTTATACCTTACTTAACATGGCTAATATAACTTTTCTTTCTTTAATGACAAAGAAAAAAATACCTAATATTTATAGAAAAGAAAAACAAGGGTTGAAATTATTTTTGTTTTAAGAGATGTATTGGCCTCTATCTCCTTTAATCTGAAATAATTTCTTCCCTTTTTTAAAAAGAGATCATTTCTTAGAGAATTATCCTCATTCTGTATTTGAACTACTTCATTATTTAAAAAAAAAATCTCAGTTGTCTAAATACAAATTTTCAACCTGGATGCACTTCTAGAACACCAGACATTTATTAATTCTGACTTTCCCTTTAACTGTTGTAGGAAACCTCAGGTTCCAACTGAAGCTATAATTACAATTCAAAGTCTGGAATACAGATGACTTCAAGATTTAGTCCCAAAG